GCTGTAGCAGCGTGAGGAGAAATTACGCCACGCTCGTAGCTCAGGCCGGGCTCGCCTCAGCTAAACAATCCACAAATGTTTCCCTCGTACGTAGGCGCCACACCCATAGAACCACACGCCAGCTGAGCACTGCGGCGACATTGGGAGCGAAGGAGGGAAGTGCACGGGGAGAGCCAGTGTGGTGTAGCGCTTAGAGCAGGGTCCCCCACCCCCAACATGATCCCTATGGGCACCCGTCACCACCTGCCAAGTGGGTTTCTGAATGGCCGCTGGAGATCTGGTGGGCTGTGCAGGCAACGCTCCCTCTAAGCTATGGAGTCCTGTGAGCAAAAATTCTACTTTGTGAGCTACTGGCATTAAAGTTGTGAGTGAGCGATTTGGCTGCTGCATAAATTAGTTCGCCCTGGAGCCATCCGTCCTGAGCGAAGACAAAAATGTGTGAGTCGGAGGCTGAAAAACTGTGAGCTAGCTCACACTAACTCAGCTTAGAGGGTACACTGTGTGCAGGTTTTTAAGAATATTGTTTTGGCAACAGCTACTATCACAGCACTAAGAAGAGAGAGAGAAGAGAAGAGATTGGATTAATACCCCACCCTTCTCAGAGCAGCTTACAGTCTCCTTCCTCTTCCCACAACAGACACCCTGTGAGGCGGGTGGGGCTGAGAGAGCTCTTTCGAGGACTGCTCTTGAGAGAACAGCTCTGAGAGAACTGGTGACTGACCCAAGGCCACTCCAGCTAGCTGCATGTGAAGAAGTGGGGAATCAAACCCAGTTCTCCCAGAATAGAGTCCGTGTTCCTAACCACTACCCCAAACTCTGTGAGGCAGGTGGCACAGACAATATTTTTTTAGCGAGACAATATTTTTAAACGATAGTTTGTTTAAAAAGGTGTCTTGTCCAGCGGAGCTTCTGCCTGAAATGTAGAAGTGTTACTATCAGAGTTACACATGACCTCACTCCCTGACCTTTGCGGTTGGCTCTGCCTTTTGTGGCAGCCATTTTGTGGTCGCACTGGGGATGCCACCCTCCAGGTGGCACCTGGGGAGCTCCTGCTATTGCAGTCGATCTCCAGACAACCAAGATTAGTTCCTGTGGAGAAAATGGCTGCTTTGGAGGGTGGACTCTGTGGCACCGTGCCCAACTGAGGTCCCTCCCCAGCCCAAACCCTGTCCTTCTCAGTCTCTACCTCCAAAGTCTACAGAAATTTCCCAAGCTGGAGCTGGAAACCCTAGTTAGCAGGCAAATCAGGTGCTGTACTCTTCAGATGTGCTACAGACCAAAGGTACATGTTTAGCATAAGAAAATGATGTGGTGCTGGCTTATTTTGCTCTGCACCACACTGGCGCATCTATTGCTAGCTCATGCCTCATCCCAAACTCCTTTTTTGTTGTTGTTGAGGAATTTCAGACAGACGATATAATCCGGAAGAGGAACGGTTCACAAACGGTTTCTGGTCTGTCATTTCAGACAGAACCGTTTTAAAACCGGTTCCCTACCGGAATATATTTGTAATTTCAGACACAAACGCTCCTGTCCCGTTTAGGACAGAAGCTTTTTTTTTTTTTTGGAACGTTTGCTTTATAGCTTTATAGCTATAGCGCTATAACGGAATACAACGGTTATAGCTATAGCGCTATAATGGAATAGCATTATATTAATCCCATTGGAATGCCTGGAGTGTTTTGTTATAGTGCTATAGCGCTATCGTGTTCTAAAGCGAATGTTCAAAAAAAAACGGGAGATCGCCCGCATGGGCGAAAAACGGCGGGGGGAAAGCGGGAAAAAGCGGTGCAGTCTGAAATGGCAAACCGCTTCAGATCCAGCTCTTCACCGGATGGGGAAAGCCATGTGTGAAATGGCAGCCCTATACCGGTTTACTCCATGACAGATCAAAAACGGCTTCAAAACGGGTTAAAAAGGGTAATGTGAAATTCCTCGTTGTTTTGCTAGTATGACTTCATTTGTTTGATTCTGTGTGCACACCTAGCCATCGATCTGTCACATCCTTGTCCCACCCTTTCTCCGAAGAGCTCACGGTAGAATACCTGGTTCTCTCTTCCTCCTTTAATGCTCACAACGGTCTTTCCCAGCTTCTGTCGGTCTCAGGTTTTTATCTTACCTTTCCTGTAGAGAGCTCAGGGCTAGGGCTGCCAACCTCCAGGTGGTGCCTGGAGGCCTCCCGGAATCACAACTGATCTCCAGATGACAGAGAGGAGCTCCCCCACAGGAAGTGGCTGCCTTCAGCGGGAGGGCTGGGTAGCCGTGTTTGTCCGTATAAGTAGAAAAGAGTGAGAATCCAGGAGCACCTTAAAGGCGAACAAAACTTGTGGCAGGGGAGGAGCTTTCGTGAGTCACTGGGCAGTATGGCATTATACCGTGCCCTCCACAGGCCCCCCAGCCCCAAATCTCCGGGCATTTCTCGACTCCGGGCTGGCAAACCTACTCCAGGTGTATATATAACTGTCCCTATCCCCCCCTCTCATGACAGCCAGAGAAATAGTTTAGGCTGAGAGAAGGTGACTGATCCAAGAGCATCCAGTAAGTTTCTTGGCTGAGTGGGGATTCGAACTCGTGTCTCCCCGGTCCCAGTCCAACCACTGCATCACACAGGCTCTCTCCCAAAATTTCCACATGCCTGTTCTAAGTATTAGACTTATTTCAGAACTGGAGAAAGGCCCCCCCTGACCTTGCTCCATTTCCACCCCAGGACAAAGCTGTTTTTGGAAATAACCAGACCTGCATGTAATTAAGTACTTCCAAAACGTCTTCCTTCTCAAATCCAGTCAAACTAGCTTGCTTTGACCTTGTTGTAAACAAATGGCTGCTGTTTCTTAGCCTTATGGGTCAGGGGCTAGGATAATTTTGTGCATTCGGTCTGTCTTGGAAAATCAGTTTGCCTGCTCATCTAGGGCGAATACCAAATAGAAGAAGAAGAAGAGATTGGATTTATACCCCGCCCTTCACTTGGAGTCTCAGAGTGGCCTACAAACTCCCCTCTCTTCCCCTCCCCACACCAGACACCCTGTGAGGTGGGTGGGGCTGAGAGAACTCCGACACAAACTGCTCTTTTTCAAGGACAGCTGTGCCAGAGCTTGTGACTGACCCAAGGTCATCCAGCCAGGTGCAAGTGGAGGAGTGGGGAATCAAACCCGGTTCTCCCAGATTAGAGTCCGCACACTTAACCACTACACCAAACTGGCTCTCAATACTGATAGATGAGGCTTCTTGGGAGTCAGATCATAAGGCGCCCGGATCCTAAAACGCCTGACGACTAGGAGCGGTGTTGAAAAAGTTTTTCCAGAAAGGTCTAGAATTGCTCCTCAGAGCCAGCATGGGGTAGTGGTTAAGAGCAATGGACTCCAGTCTGGAGAGCTGGGTTTGATTCCCCACTCTTCCTCCACATGAAGTGGCTCCCGGATAATGGGGAAGTGAGTAGTACGGTGAATAGGGTTGCCAGACCCCTTCTCCGGGTTGGGGCTCCCCCAATTTCTGGGGCTCTGGTCTGCCACCGGCCAACTGGCCGGCAGGGGAAGCCCCACCCCCAGACAGGCAGGTTGCCATGCGACGCCGCTGTCACAATGACATCACTTGGAAGTGACATCATCGTGTCGCTGATGTCGGGGGGGGGGTGTGACACGATGGGCAGGCTATAGTTTTGAAGGCAAAAAAGCCGTAGAGTTTTGCCCCAAAACTAGAGCATCACCCCCAACGTCGGTGACTTTTCTCCCTTTCTCACAATACAAGAACTCGTGGGCACTCCATGAAATTGCTGAGCGGTCGGGTTAGAACAGATAAAAGGAAGTACTTCTTCACCCAAAGAGTGATTAACACTTGGAACTCACTGCCACAGGAAGTGGTGGCGGCTACAAGCATGGACGGCTTCAAAAGGGAATTAGATAAGCATATGGAGCAGAGGTCCATCAGTGGCTATTAGCCACAAGGTATAGATAGGGGCTCTGGGGCAAGTGATGCTCTGTCATCTTGGTGCTTGGGGGGGGGTCAACAGTGGGAGGGCTTCTAATGTCCTGGCCCCACTGGTGGACCTCCTGATGGCACCTGGTATTTCTGGCCACTGTGTGATGCAGAGTATTGGACTGGATGGGCCTTTGGCCTGATCCAACATTGGCATCTCTTATGTTCTTATGTTCTTATGATGTCATTCCTGTGTGTGGCAGAAGATCCCGGGAAGGTCCTGGGAGGCCCCAGCTGCCTGAAAGGTCGGACCTGGCAACCCTAACGGTGAGGGACACGTGTTCAAGTTCCCAACAGCGTTAATGTAAGATGGAGAGGGAGCGTTTTGGGTGATGGTGAGATATGGAAAAAATGGTATTTAGCAGATAGTCCAGCAGGGCCAGAGTAAAATAATTCAGACTGAGAGTCCATGTGTGATTAAAATATAATTTTTTTACTAAATTCTAGCATGGGAAAGGGTAACTGGGATGAAAATAACAACAGAGCAAAATCGGCTACATCCTTACTCTACAAAGACCAAAGCAGAAGAGAGAGATTATGGCTACTCTTCTTCTTCTTCAGAACACCAAACAAAGACGGGAAGAGAAGCCATAAAATGGTAACACACCTTGACACTTTAGTCCCAATCAAATTCCTAGATCAGGGAGAAAATTCCCGGGCTTCCTACATCTAAAGAACATTGGTTACATGTGAGTAACAGAAACAAACAATTAACCCCAGATATACTGAGTGTTTTCAACTTGTAATACCCAACAGACAGAAAAGCATAGGGTGGGATGGAAAAGGGGAAGGTTTACTCGCCCGCCCTACTTTGAATTTTCCCAACTTGCCATTGGAATGGCTTATTAATGAAACTGTTGCACGCCTGGAACGGTTTCACATGTCTGAGGAGGGTTGTTGTTTTTCGCATGCGTGTCCCTGTGATGCAGAGATCGTCTTTAGTAGTGGGCCACGTTGCATTCCTTCTTTTGCGGTGTGTGCGTGTTTCCAGGCTCCATTTTTGCACTCGGGTGCCTTTTCTCTTCCAGATGCGAGAGCTGCGTGGAGCTGCTGTTTGTCCGGGGGGCCGGGAACTGCCAAGAATGCGGCACCCCCTTGCGGAAGAGCAACTTCAGAGTGCAACTCTTTGAGGACCCAGCCGTTGACAAGGAGGTGGAAATCCGGAAGAAGGTGTTGAAAATGTGAGTGCGATTGAGATAGGCCGGGTTTTTTCCTGTTCTTGGGGGGATTAGCTTGATTTGTTTTTCAGCAAGGGATCATTTTAAGTGGCATAGAGAACTTACTTATGTTCAGGGCCTTTTTTTGTGTAGAAAAAGCCCAGCAGGAACTCATTAGCGTAATAGGCCACACCCAACAGCAGGAACTCATTAGCATATTAGGCCACACCCTGACATCACAGCACATTAGCATATTAGGCCACACCCCCATGTTAGCAGAAGTGTGGTCATCCAGCCACACCCACCTTTCGCTTCTTATTCTCTTTACGTTTGTTGTCAAAACCCAGGGCCTTTTTGCATGTTAGGCCACACACCCCTAATTGTAGCCAATCCTAATGAGTTTCTGCTCTTGGGTGTGGCCTATTATGCTAATGAGTTCCTGCTGGGCGTGGCCAACTTGGGAGCCAGCCGGAACTCCGTTCCTGTGCGTTCCTGCCCCAAAATAGCCCTGCTTATGTTATATATCCTGAGCTACAAAATGCATTGCGTACTGTCCTTTAATGGATACAGATCCAAAGAACTGTGTATTTATTTATTTGTTATTACTGTACAGTGCTACCCTATTGCCTGCATAGAAAAGCCCTCTTGAATAGTTCATTTTTGCATACTTTATGGAAAGCCAGGAGGGTGGGAGCTTTCCTGACCTTCTCAGGCAGCGTAGCGTGGTGCTTAGAGTGGCAGCCTAGGATCCGGGAGACCCAGGTTCCAATCCTCACTCTACCATGGATGGTTTCTGGGTGACCTTGGGCTGCTCACACAGTCTCAGCCTAACTTACGTAACATGATTGTTGTGAAGATAAAACAAAGAAGAGGATGACGTAAGCTGCTTTGGCTTCCCACTGGGGAGAAAGGCAGGGTCGAAATGAAGTAAATGAATGAATATCAATTATAAGAACATCAGAAGAGCCCTGCTGGATCAGACCAGTGGTCCATCTAGCCCTGCATCCTGTCTCACACCGTGGCCAACCAGTTCCTCTGGAGGGCCATCAACAGGGCACAGAGGCTGATGCCTTCATTAGAATATCAGAAGAGCCCTGCTGGATCAGACCAGTGGTCCATCTAGCCCTGCATCCTGTCTCACACCGTAGCCAACCAGTTCCTCTGGAGGGCCAACCACAGGGCACAGAGGCTGAGGCCTTCATATGAATTTAACAAAAGCTGAGGCTTTCATTAGAATATCAGAAAAGCCCTCTAGCTCAGCATCCTGTCTCACATTGTGGACAACCAGTTCCTCTGGAGGGCCAACAACAGGGCATGGAGGCTAAGGCCTTAATAAGACCGTAAGAAGAGCCCTGCTGGATCAGACCAGATGTCCATCTAGTCCAACGTCTTGTCTGGTTTCCTGGTGTGTGCCCAGTAGAAAATGGGCAGGGCCAGGGGGGCTTTTGCTCAGCGAGGCTTCCGATTGGCCATTGGAAATTTGATTGGCTGTGCAGATTTTTAAAAATGTTGCTTTGGTGGGAGCTGCCGCCGCAGCACAAGTATCTTCACTGTGTGGCCGAAAGTAAGCTGTTGTCAAGTGCAGGTAAGTCAAGTGGGTTAAGAGTCAAGTAGGTGGATAACGAAGGTTCCAGATATTAACAACTTTTGTTTCAAAAATCTTCTTCAGGAATGACTATTACAAGTTTTCACAAGCATCATTTCCAATGGTGGGGTCAGGATTTTCACCTCCGTTAAATATAATTACAATAATAGCACATAAGTTGCTGTCGAGTGCAGGTAAGTCAAGTGGGTTGATAATCAAGTAGGCGGATAATGAAGGTTCCGGATATTAATAACGTCATTTCAAAAATCTTCTTCAGGAATTACTATTACAAGTTTTCACAAGCATCATTTCCAATGGTGGGGTCAGGGTTTTCGCCTCCGTTGTAAATGATGCTTGTGAAAACTTGTAATAGTCATTACCGAAGAAGATTTTTGAAATGACGTTATTAATATCCGGAACCTTCATTATCCACCTACTTGACTATCAACCCACTTGACTTACCTGCACTCGACAGCAACTTATGTGCTATTTTTGTAATTATATTTAATATTATCTTGTATTTTGTATGTATTTATGTAGCACCTTGTTTCTTAAAATATTAGCTTTAGCTATACTCAGCGTCCCTCTTTTACACGGCCTTGCTTTGCTTTTTGATTTTTTGCTGTGTTACGGCTTATTGTTCCGAAAGTAAGCTGTGGCAGCCATTTTGTGTCTGGCTCCACCTCCCGCAGCCACCATTTAAAGGCAGCCATGTTGTAGCAGTGCCCACATGCTCTGCCACAATTCCAGAGCTGTCCGCAGGCTCAAAAGAGTTGGGAACCCCTGCTGTAAACCATTATTGAGGTATTCTATTTTCGATATTGCATAAACTGTAAATAGCAGAATGTTTTTCGTCACCCGGACATCTTTCTGACCGATGTTGCAACTCCGCTTTTCCGTTTCAGTCCCTTTCTTTTGTGTGTCTGTCACTTAGGCGGTAACCCCGAAGGCAAAATTGGCTTTTGACATATAGCACTTGGTTTCTGTAGGCACTCAAGAAAAAAGGTAGTGTTTATTTATTTAGCGAATTTCGAAGCTGTCTTTCCACTCAAAAGAGCACTCAGGGTGGCTTAGCACTAAAACGTAAACTCTAGAAAACGTAAAAATAATAATAATTCCTTAAAATCCACCGAAATCTGTAGCAATTCAGGGCAGTCTAAAGCCTAGGTGGAGTTGCAGTGGCTCAAGTGGTTAAGACGCTGAACTGCAGGCTGTGGAAAGTCGGTAGTTCAGCAGTTCGAGACCCGAGTGCGCTGCATGACGGAGTGAGCTCCCGTCTCTAGTTCCAGCTCCTGCCAACCTAGCAGTTCGAAAGCAAGAAATTGCAAGTAGATAAATAGGTACCACTTTGGTGGGAAGATAACAGCGTCCCGTGCGCTTTGGTGTTTAGTCATGCTGGCCACATGACCACAGAAATTTCTTTGGACAGCTCTGGCTCTTCGGCTTTGAAATGGAGATGAGCCTAGAGTCGGATTCGACTGGCTTTCGAGCAAGGGAACCTTTACCTTTACCTTTTACTAAAGCCTAGGTAAAACTCATATTTCGTCCTTCCGGGATAAATGAGTTTTCAGTAAACAGAGGAAGGCCAGGAGTGAATCAAGTGTAGCCCTGGAAAAAGGATGATCTATGTTTGTGGCTGGCAGGCGAGAAGGCATCATTTGTTGCGTTATTTTTGTGCTTTTGTGCCGCCCTTTCTCCAAGGAGCTCATAATGGTGTACGTAGTTCTCCCCCCCCTTTTTTTGCCATCATGTTTGAGCTGACTTTTGGCGACCCCGTAGGGTTTTCAAGGCACGAGACGTTCGGTGGTAGTTTGCCGTCGTCTGCCTCTGCATAGCAACCCTGGACTTCCTTGGGTGTCTCCCATCCAAGTACTAACCGGGGCTGACCCTGCTTAGCTTCCAAGATCTGATGAGATCGGGCGAACCTGGGCTGTCCATGTCAGGGGCATGCATAGTTTTAACCTTGAAAGGAAGTTTAGGAAATTAGTAAAGGGCCAGAAGCTAAAAACATCAATAGGTAGGGACAAAAGTACACGTGTTTATTTCAAAAAACATATAAAAACCTTGTAGGGGCCCAACTCTCCTGGCTCTTCGCAAACTGTGCAAAACCAAATTGCACAGGTCATAGGAATTCACTGTACAAAATGGTTCACGGACTTACGTGGATAAATGTTGAGGGACTGCGGTCTACACTACTGAGCATAGCCTGCTGTAAGCAGGATCCTACTATGTAATCTTTGCATCAGGAGCTTTCACTCATGCTAAATAATGCCGTTTCCGTCCACTTCAGCGGCCCCAAAAACCAATAAACCACAGTTTTTGATCCTAGTTTGAGAGAATATACCTAACCACAGCGAGTGGACAGTCTCAGAGGGTAGCCGGGTTGGTCTTCAGTAAAACATCTAGATTCGAATCCGGTAGCACCTTAGAGACCAACAAGACTTTTGGGGGTGTCGCAGGCAGCGGCTAGCAAGTGTCAGCTATGCCGTCATAAGGGTTGGGGGTGTCTCAAATATCGCCGCATTCTTTCTTTGCTTCTGTAACACTTTATCTATGGCCTTGCAGGTGGTGTGAGTTGTTTGGACTTCAGGGAACCGTGGGAGTGCTTTCGGTTCTCAGCTTCGGCTCTGACGGCCTGGGGCTCCTTCTCCCGCGCGGGGGAATGTGGCTAATTGGCCTAAGGAAGGGGGGGTGCATATGAATACCCTATATCCCATTATGCTTGTAAGGGCGACACCATTCTTAACAGCGACTTTGTTAATACATCTATAGATCTGCAATAAAGTATAACCTTTCTGATAAGCGTGTACTCGATTGCTGGCTGTGGAACCTGACCGCAAGGTTCTCTAATGGCTGCCACCACTCTGGTCTGGGTCTCCTCGGGAGGGCCCCGGGCACCCACCCTACCCCTATACACAATACTTTCCCAGTAGGTTTCCCTTTATGACGTGACCAAACGAGGCGTGGGGACCCAAGGCAGAATAACAAACTAGTTTTATGAAAGAGATTTAGTAACAACTGTAGTTCAAACATATGTAGTAAAAATGAGGACAGTAAAGGTAGGTAAATCGGGAAATAAGAAACCCTAACGCGTCTGACTCTACTGTATCTAGCCTTCTCTAGGTCTTTGGCCTCAACCTGACTCACCCCTTTTGGATGAGGGATCCCCTCCTTCTGCAGCTGCCCCAGCAGCCCTGCTCCCTGGGAGTAAGCCCCCTCCCACCTTGGGACAGGTTTTTTCTCTCCTCTTCCCAGGCACCACCCTCTGCTCCCCTGCTGGTGTAGTTTTCCCTCCAAAATCCCCTGTTAGCCAATCACAGGGTCCAAAGAGAACCTGGGAGATGTAGGCCCTGTTAGCGACTCCAATACAGGCTTTCCCCGGGGCCACTAGGCCTCTCCAGAGCCTGTAGGCAGTACCGCTCAGGATTATGACAGGGGATATGAACATTTGACAGTCAAAGCTTTTTAGGTATCTGACAAAGGGAACTTTGAATTTTGAAAGCTCATATCCTGAAACGCTTGTCCCAAAAGTTCTACTGTCCCGAACGTTCTCACAGCGAGTGGAGAAGCCCACGTTTTGGACAGCGCCACTAACCATAGTTAGGCTGATCCACGGTTTTATGTGGTGTCTAAATCAGCCACAGATGGGGTCCATTTGGTGTCTCGACTGAGAGAGTCCCTAAATGAGAACGGTATAGCAAAAGAAGCAGCCGTCCTTTGTGGAGCTGTAATGCGAACGTGTTGTTTCTTTTGATCCTCTCTCTTCCCAAAGATACAAATGCGAACGTTTTGTTTCTTTTGATCCTCTCTCTTCCCAAAGATACAATAAAAGAGAAGACGACTTCCTCAGTCTAAGGGAATATAATGATTTCCTGGAAGAAGTCGAAGAAATCGGTGAGTCCCAACGCTTGCATATTTGATGTGCCTGTAAGCTTTTATCTGCCTGCCTGCCTCGCGAAACATTCGAGTGGAGTCTTTTTCAAATGGGCTTTAGCGTGGGGTTCCCGATGGTTATCTAATTACTCTCTCCTTACATTTTTAATCCGGAGCTGTTCCACTGGAGGGGCAGACTGAGATAATAAATGTCTAGCTGTCAAGGTTGGTGTGGGGGAAGGGGGGGCACGGACGGGGTGGGGGGAACGTGCAGGGCAACCGTGGCCGAAAGGGAAAACACTTTGCAAGGACATAGATGGTGCTCCAGAAGATCAAAGGGGGGAGGTGGGGGGGGGGAGAAGTAAAATTTGGATTGTACTTCTGTGCCTCCAGTGGCTTTATTTACCGTGACAGAAGCCATATGGCTCCCCTTTCATCCTTTCTGTGCTTCAAGTACAGTAGCCGGGAGTGCTTTGAAGAGGTTGACCTTGCCTGCCATGTTGGCAGTGTTTTTATGGCGCTAATGCAAAGGGGGGGGGGAGTTTGAAGAGCCCCCCCCTTTTCGTTTGGCTTTCAGGCCTACAGATGCCATAGCCTGAAGGCCTTGGACTCATGGGGGTGCCATTTGGGGGTTGGAGTGGTGGAGGGGAGGGTTCTGTCGATGCAGCATTGGACCCAGTGAAACTGAGCCCAGTCCTGTTCCTGGAATGAGGCTTTCCTGCTCCCCCCTCCCGTGCTCCAGCCCCTCTGCCTTGGGTTGCCAGCCTCCAGGTGGGGCCCGGAAACCTCCCAGAATTCCAACTGGTCTCCAGTTTTTATGGCGCTAATGCAAAGGGGGGGGGGAGTTTGAAGAGCCTCCCCCCTTTCGTTTGGCTTTCAGGCCTACAGATGCCATAGCATGAAGGCCTTGGACTCATGGGGGTGCCATTTGGGGGTTGGAGTGGTGGTGGGGAGGGTTCTGTCGATGCAGCATTGGATCCAGTGAAACTCTGAGCCCAGTCCTGCTCCTGGAATGAGGCTTTCCTGCTCCCCCCTCCCGTGCTCCAGCCCCTCTGCCTTGGGTTGCCAGCCTCCAGGTGGGGCCCGGAAACCTCCCAGAATTCCAACTGGTCTCCAGACTACAGAGGATCAGTTCCCCTGGAGAAAACAGCTGCTTTGGAGGGCAGCCGCTGAGGTCCCGCCCCAGACTCTACCCCCAGATCTCCAGGGATTTCCTAACCCGGAGTTGTCAACCTTGCTAGTAATGCAAAGAGGCTCGTTTGGCTGTTGGTGGCCGGCCTCTGTAGTCCACAAATGAGTGGCGGTCAGTGTTCCCTCTAAGCTGAGCTGGTGTGAGCTAGCTCGCAGTTTTCTAGCCTCTGACTCACACATTTTTGTCTTAGCTCAGGAAGGAGGGCTCCAGAGCAAACTCTTTTCTGCAGTAGCCAAATCTCTTGCTCACAGCTTTAATGCCAGGAGCTCACCAAGGAGAACTTTTGCTCACAAGACTCCACAGCTTAGAGGGAGCATTGGTGGCAGTACATAGATTCAGCCCCCTACCTGCCATTCCTAAATCACCTGCTCAAGATCCACTGTTAATCTCAACACAAAAAATATACCCTGCTCCCTGTAAGCCGTGGAGCCTTGTGAGCAAAAATTCTGCTCTGTGAGCGACTGGCCTTAAAAGTTGTGAGCGAGCGATTTGGCAGCTGCATAAATTAGTTTGCCCTGGAGCCATCCCTTCCTGAGCTAAATGTGTGAGCCGGAGGCTAAAGATCTGTGAGCTACTTCACACTGACTCAGCTTAGAGGGAACACTGCTTGCAACTACTGGACAGCCATCTTTGGGCAGGGTAGACTCTATGGCAGGGGGGTCAAATATGTGGCCCGGGGGCTGTTTCAGGCCCCCCGGAGGGCTTTCATCAGGCCCGCGGTGGAACTGGCCGTCTCCTACTTCCAGTTCTGCTGCTGCATCATAGCTTGCTTCGCCAGACTCTTAATCACTCAGCCATTTCATGTTTTAACCGGGGTCCCAGACTAAGAACACTGAGCAGGAGATTCCCGTGGTGAATGTCAATAAATCAAAAGTAGGTTTGCAGCTTACAGAGCTAATGTTTTAAGCATGTTTTTATTTTAAGTTAAAAACCCTTTGTGTTTGTGCCCTTTATAAAGTTTATATCTCTGCTACCTGGCAGAAAAGGGCTTGTATCCTACCTCTCTGTTTGGCCAAGGTTTTTCATCAGAGTTAGGATACTGTAGGCTGGAAGGGGGCTTAAGATTTAATTGAGTGCAGCGAGAAGATACAAGCCACATGGCTCATACTTGAAGGAACCAAGCTGGACTCCATGGCTTTGCAGAGCCAGCTGAAACCTCACTGGTCCTTTGTGTCACCTGACAGCCACCTGGTCAAGGAGCTGCTGTACTCTGCCTTGATGGAGAAAAGGTCGGCGGCTCCCTCTTTTGCCAAGTTACCACAGCAGTTCAGAAAGCAGCTGTCTGTTTGAACCCTCCAGCCCTTTCTCTTTAGAGGAAGGAGGGGAAATAGACCAGCTCTGAAAACAAGGCCTCTTCTTGCATGTGCTTTTTTAAAAATCCCCCTCGTAGTTCACAGTGGCTTAGAAAAACTCACCTTTCCTCTATTTTGGAGCATCTTTCTTTCCCCTTGAGAGTTTCTGTCTGTGTGTGTTTTTGTGTGTGTGTGTGTGTGTGTGTTTGGTCTTTTCAGAAACCGAACTGGCCTTCGGAGAGAATTAAACCTTTCAGCCTGTAAAAACAATGGCCTTTTTGTGGGATATTTTGACAGATGTCGAGGCAGGCGGAGGGGAATGAGAGATGGATGTGGAGATAGGGTCTTCAGATGCTAGGTCTGCCCGAGCTGCTTCCCCCGTGTCCCTTGAGGGGCTGCAGGCCAACTCTGTTTGGAGTTGGATGCCCTGCTTTAACCATGAGTATAAATGAAATGTCTCCTCTGAAATCTTTGTGAAGAAATAGCACCTGTTCCTTAGGAATTTGCTATAAGGGACTGAGATTATGCAAGGAAGACTTTGGGCATCCTCAGGGTCAAAAAGAGCAAAATGAAAATGTTGGTTGGCTTTGGTCCCCCCCCCCAGTGGGTTTGCTACACGCAACTTCCGGTCACCTGGAAGTGCCCCAGGAGCCCCCCCACCCCGGCCTGGCAAAACCCTACTTGTGCCTCACCTTCCATATTCATAGCCAGTGCAGTCTGGAATACATAGGAATGATAAACCCTGTATTGTTGTTGACCAGGTACCTAGTGAATGGGCCAGCCCTTCCTTTGGGAGAGAGGTCCTTCACTCAGCTGATCTCAGCAGTTCTTGTTGGTCCCCTGTCGGCCATCTTTGTGGGTGGTGCTTTGGAGCAGAAGAGATTGACCTGATGGTGTGCTCTAGCCACACGTTATAGGGTTACTACATGAGGATGTTGGGTGCCAGTCAATGACTGGCAACTGTTGTGAGATTGGGAGGCAGGGACATGGGTCATGTCTAGGAGTCACTGAAAACTCTATGGTTTTACCATAGAGCAGTGAGTTCTAGAGTGGCGTGACATCACTTCTGGGTTTTGTCCGGAAATGACATCACAGTGTTGCCACACCAGCAATTTATCTACTTTTTCCCCTCCCACCAACCTCCCAGGCAGCGGTGGGAGTTGGGATTGTGTAGTGGGAGGCCTACAGCTATCACAGGAGACCGGAGTACTTGGTTTACAACAGAGATAAAAGCAGAAGGGGGAATACACTTCCATTGCAAGCCTAGGTACTGTTACACCCTTCTAAATTCATTAAAATCAATGGGCTTAGAAGGGTGTAACTCTGTTTAGGACAGCGCTATTAAACAGATTTCTCCGAAGGGCATAATTCATCTCTAAATTCAGAGTAGTTTTAGTAGAAGGACTTCTGGTCATAAAAATGGAACGCTTTGTTAGTATTCACTTTAGGGACTGTTTGAATAAGAGAAACGTTTGTTATTACTGTTAATACGTGATTTGCTTGTCTTCTCTTCTCACTCCCGCCTCCATTTCCCCTCCGCACTATTTTCTAAAACTTCGACCCAGTGTTCAACCTGACCAACAACATCGATCCAGAGAATACGAAAAAGAAAATGGAGATGTACCAGAAGGAGAACAAAGAAGTCATTCAGAAAAATAAGATCAAACTGGTTAGTTGCTTCTAAAAAAGAAAAGAAAAGTAATTCCTTTATGGGCGAAGGAAATGGGGAGCAATTGTAAAATGTTCTTTCAAAAGAACAAGGTTTGTCCAGCATGCAAAGTACTAAATCATTAGGACTGTTAACCGGTTTCAAATGTTTTTCTGCTAGTTTTCCGTATGGAAATATAACTGCTTAACACAGGCTGAGCTTTGAACAATATGTATGTTTTTCAGGGTGAATGATAATGTAGGGTTTGATCCTGTGGACGCTCAAGCTCTGCTAGTGCAATAGGGTTGCCAGGTGTTACCTGGCTGCAGGTGGGGGGCTCCAGCCTGGGTCCCTGCACCTTCTGGCCACCATAGAGTTTTTAGCCAAATGCTAGAGTGTCCCCCGTATGACGTGCCCAGCACAATGATGTCACCTCCGGTTGACATCATTGCGGCTGGGCACGTCAGGTGTGATGGGGCTCTTTGGGGGTGGATTGGGCCCCCCGAAAGTGGGAGAACCCCTGCCCCCATTGGGGGGATGGCAACCCTATAGTACAGGAGTAGGGGGGGCGGTTTTGACGGATTTTGCTGACACTGTAACCCCGCCCCCCCGTTCTGTGCGGATTTTTTTCTATGAAGGTCCCCGGACCCTCAGTGGGGGTTTTATGGGGCCATGGGGTGAGAAAAGATCTTTTTCTGCCTGTTCCTTCTGTTTACGCAACATATTTATTTATTTATTTATTTATTCTGTTTGCGCAACTTATTTATTTATTTATTTACACCAGTTTGGTGTAGTGGTTAAGTGCGTGGACTCTAGTTTGGGAGAACCGGGTTTGATTCCCCACTCCTCCACTTGTATCTGGCTGGATGACCTTGGGCAAGCAGTAGTTCTGGCACAGATGTTCTTGAAAAAGAGCAGTTTCTGTCAAGAGCTCTCTCAGCCCCACCTGCTTCAAAGGGTGTCTGCTGTGGGGAGGGGAAGGGAAAGGAGATTGTAAGCCGCTCTGAGACTCCTTTGGGTAGTGAAGAGTGGTGGGGTATAAATCCAGTCTCTTCTTCTCTTCTTCTTCTTTTGTACCCTGCCTTTCTCCCAAGTGGGGATAAACCATGAATAACCTCATAAAAATTTGTGTATAATTTTAATATAACAGTCGTGATAATAATCATACAAAGGAAAACATCTTTAGTCTATCATACTGAAACTATCATATAATATAAACCATCCAACTGCATGACTACAAAGATTGGTTATAGTGATCATAGTAATCTTGCCGGTTATTTTCAAATTCACCTTTCCATCTTTCGAACTCTGTTTAAAACGGAAGCCATTTTGTGGTTGTGCCCACCGTCCTGTGTCAGAAATCAACGGGTGCCCGCAGGCTCCAAAAGTTTGAGGATTTATTTATTTATTTGTTAAATTTACACCCCGCCCTCCCAGCCGCGGTCGGCTCAGGGCGGCTGACAGAAGAATAAAAACTGAAGATGACGATGAAGTCTTTAAATCAAACTGTTTTTTCCATGAGCTATGCAGCTACATACAAAACTCTCCAATGGACTAATAAGTCTTGACTTATTAGTCCATTGGAGAGTTTTGTATGTAGCTGCATAGCTCATGGAAAAAACAGTTTGATTTAAAGACTTCATCGTCATCTTCAGTATATTTGGATGCGAAATTATTGAGAAAGACACTTCGAAACGGGCATTTACTCGAGAAGTTCGTCTGTCTTCTGTCCACCTGTTCATCTGTTGAATATAAAAGACACATCATGAATATCATCTTCAGTGAAGATTGACTTACTTTTGTGTAAATTCATTTATTGTTTGTGCACACTTGCAGCAATCTTTGGGTTTATAGTACAGTTTTGTATTGCTGTTCCCCTGGGTATTTGTAGAAGGATAAAAACAGCAATAAATAATATCAGTTATCCTAAAAACCATATAAAAGGTGTTAAGAGATGATGATCCAAATGCCATTAAGCAAATAGCGATTTAACATTAAATTTGGGGTGACGCTCGAACTCCAGTGCCTTCCTAGTGGTCGACCCCGATCTAACGTTGTGTGGCTGGCTCAGGCCTATAACATCTGAAGCTGGACCTGCATCTTCCTAGACCAGAGGAGGAAGAGGAAGGTGCTGTTCCGCCTTCTCTCCTCTGGGCAGGAGTCATTTTGTAGAAAAAGAGGTGCAGGAGCTCATTAGAATAACTCATTAGCATAACTTATTTGCATATGCCACACCCCCTGACATCACCAGAAGTGTGTCAGAAGGCAACACCCCCCGCTCAGGCTCCACTGAACTGTTTTGGATTGCTAGCTATTGCGGGGGGGAGACGCGCAGATCTGCCCTCACAGACGAGGGAGAGTTTGTACCTGAATAAACCTTGGCCTTAAAGATGTCACTGGACTGTTTTGGATTGTTATCTTGGGGGGGGGGGCTCTGCAACTTACCTGGCTGCTTCTTGCTCTGACTGAGGGCTGCTGGGAACAGGGGGTGGAGCTTGTTGCATGTCCCCGCCCCCTGGGCTCTTTACTGCCGGAGCTCCGCTCCTGTGCACTCCTGAAGGAAATGACCCCTGCCTCTGGGTCTCTGGAATGTCTGAAACTGCTCTGATGTATTTAGTTATGCCCCCCCCCCCCCCGCCCCAAGTCCACGGCTGGTCTGTCAAAGGTTTTGAAACCTGGCAGCTTTTCTATTGCAGCAGTCACTGAGGAGGAAGAGAGCCCCCCTTTTTTAGTTTTTGCTTTGCTTGATCTCTGAAGTAGTAACTGCTGTCGGGTCCCATCTCAGTCTAGGGAGCAAGAGGAGCTGGAAGAGGCGCTGGAAGTGGAGCGGCAGGAGAACGAGCAGCGGCGGCTTCTCATACAGAAGGAAGAGCAGATGCAGCAGATGCTGAAACGGAAGAACAAGCAGGAGCTTCTGGATAAACTGGTACGGAGCAAGGAGGGTTACTACACTGCCTCTCCATCTTTCAGAGAGCCCGTTTGGCGTGAGAGCCAGTCTGGTGTAGTGGTTAGGAGCGCAGACTCTGATCTGGGAGAACCAGGTTTGATCCCCCACTCCTCCACATGCAGCTGCTGGTATGACCTTGGGTCAGTCACAAGTTCTCTCAGAGCTGTTCTCCCAAGAGCAGTTCTCGAAAGAGCTCTCTCAGCCCCACCTACCTCCCAGGGTGTCTGTTATGGGGAGGGGAAGAGAAATGAGATTGTAGAATATTAGAATATATTAGAACATAAGAAGAGCCCTGCTGGATCAGACCAGTGGTCCATCTAGTCCAGCATCCCATCTCACATAGTGGCCAACCAGTTCCTCTGGAGGGCCAACCACAGGGCATAGAGGCTGAGGCCTTCATTAGAACACAAGAAGAGCCCTGCTGGATCAGACCAGTGGACCATCCAGTCCAGCCTCCTGTCTCACAAAGTGTCCAACCAGTTCCTCTGGAGGGCCAGCAACAGAGCAGAGAGGCTGAGGCCTTCATTGGAACATAAGAAGAGCCCTGCTGGATCAGACCGGTGGTCCATCCAGTCCAGCATCCCATCTCACATAGTGGCCAACCAGTGCCTCTGGAGGGCCAACCACAGGGCAGAGAGGCCGAGGCCTTCATTGGAACATCAGAAGAGCCCTGCTGGATCAGACCAGTGGTCCCTCTAGTCTAGCATCCTGTCTCACACAGAGGCCAACCAGTTCCTCTGGAGGGCCAACCACAGGGCAGAGAGGCTGAGGCCTTCCCCTGATGTTGCCTCCTGGCTCTGGGATTCAGAGGAGTAGTGCCTCTGAACATGGAGGTTCCCCTCAGTCACTCTGGTGAGTCGTCACTGATAGACCTACCCTCCATGAGTCTATCTAAACCCCATTGAAAGCTGTCTGGGCCTGAGGCCACCACAACATCCTCTGGCAGCGAATCCCATGTTTTAATCACTCTCTGTGTAAAGAACTCTTTTCTTTTCTCAGGTATTTCCTTGAGAATGTAGTGTAATTGAACCAGCCAAAGAATAAAAACACACCCATCCACAGCAAATCAGAAAAGTTTTCCTGAATAGCCAAGAATGCTTCTCAGCTCTCGCCTGATAACATCTTCGCAACCCATGCTCCTTCCCCACCATTGGAGTTAAAAGCCATATCTCATTATCTACTGCATCTCCAACAATGAGGAGCGGGGGGAGGTACCCTTGTTTTCATTTCACGCTCCCATAAGAACTTAAGAAGAATCATAGAATCTGGGTCTGTATGGCCTGAAGGGGCCATACAGGCCAGCTAGTCCAACCCCCTGCTCAATGCAGGATCGGCCTACAGTATCCCTGACAAGCAGATGCTGCTTAAAGACTGCCAGTGAGGGGGAACTCATCACCTCCCTAGGCAGCTGATTGCACTGAGCCCTGCTGGATCAGACCAGCGGTCCATCTAGTCCAGCATTCTGTCTCACTCAGTGGCCAGCCAGTTCCTCTGGAGGGCCAACAACAGGGCATAGAGGCCGAGGCCTTCATTAGACCCTCAGAAGAGCCCTGCTGGATCAGACCAGTGGTCCATCTAGTCCAGCATCCTGTCTCACACAGTGGCCAGCCAGGTCCTCTGGAGGGCCAACAACAGGGCAGAGAGGCCCAGGCCTTCATATGAATTTAACAAGAGCCCTGTTGGATCAGACCAGTGGTCCATCTAGTCCAGCATCCTGTCTCCCACAACCACAGGGCATAGATCCCGAGGCCTTCATTAGACCATCAGAAGAGCCCTGCTGGATCAGACCAGGGGTCCATCGAGTCCAGCATCCTGCCTCACACAGTGGCCAACCAGTTCCTCTGGAGGGCCAACAACAGGGCACAGAGGCTGAGGCCTTCCCCTGATGTTGCCTTCTGGCTCTTGGATTCATTCCCCTTTAAATTTGCGTTGACCCACCAGTGTTGCCGAATGACTGGATCTTATGAATCGGAAGGGGGAAGGTGAGACTTCCTCACGTGAGCTCCGATGTCGTGGCCTGGTGGGGCTTGCACACACTCTCTCTCTTTCTCTCTCTCTCTCCAACGGCAGCTGTGGTAAAAAGGCCTTTGGGGTGTGTGTATATGTGTGTAATCGATCTCCCTCCCAGCTGCTTTGCTGCTGCTGTTCATTTCTTTCACGTTGTTCTCCACTGTCATCTGTCCATAACTTTTCACTTCCCATTTATCCGCTCCTGACACAGTCCTATCGGGCTGCTGTTAAGGGACCACCAGCTGCACTCCAGATTGGCCTCCCCCTGGATACCTGTTATAGACTTTTATGATCCTGTCCAATTGAATAGGTAATTTATTTCTGTTCTGACTTCCATTCTTTTTTCTCGTCCCCCCCCCCCCCCCCGGGAAAGATGAGTACCTTCACTCCCTCGTCCGATCCTGAGGGATTTCTGTGGAAACGGAGGGAGATCTGGTGTCAGGTGATTTAAGAGCTGGTTTTACAGTGCTGGGTTTTACAGAGCAAGAGCCGTATGTACCTTTTACCGGATTCTTTTAGGAGACGTGGTGTTTCATATTTTTCCCCCCTAGGCCTTGGTCAGTCAACATTCACTCTGGTGACAGAACAAGAGAATAGCCACGTAGCCCAGACAGCTGTAATAATTTTACTTTTTCTTCCTTTTTGTGAAGTGTACGATTGCTTTTTACCAGTCCTTATATTCGTACAGTTAGGGCTGCGGTGGCTGAAGTGGTTAAGACTCTGAACTGTAGACTGGAAAGTTGGTAGTTTGGCAGTTCGAGACCCGAGTGCCGTGTGACGGAGTGAGCTCCCGTCTCTGGCCCCAGCTCCTGCCAACCTAGCAGTTCGAAAGCAAGAAATTGCAAGTAGATAAATACGTACTACTTCTGTGGGAAGGTAACAGCGTTCTGTGCACCTTGGCATCTAGTCATGCCGACCACATGACCGTGGAGATGTCTTCGGACAGTGCTGGCTCTTTGGCTTGGAAACAGAGATGAGCACCACCCCCTAGAGTCAGATTCAACTGGCTTTCAAGCAAGGGAAACCTTTACCTTTACCTTACATTAGTACAATGGATATTCAGCATATATATCTGTTTGGAGTAGGGTTGCAAACCTCCAGGTAGCACTATTGCCAGTCTCCTGCTATTAAAACTGATCTCCAGGCGATCGAGATCAGTTCCCTTGGAGAAAATGGATGCTTAGGAGGGTGGACTCTAAGGCGTTATACACTGCTGAGGTCCTTCCCCTCCCCAAACTCTGCCTTCCCCAGGCTCCACCCCTAAAATCTCCGGGTGTTTCCCAACCTGGAGCTGGCAACTAGGGTTGTGCGCAAAAAAAAAAAAAATCAGTATTTTTCTGTTTCGGGTATACCAAACCCGAAAAATATCGGTATATACCGATATTCCTGTAATAATCGGTGTTGCAAATTTATTCAGCTCCATACCTTCCCTTCCCTCCCCAAGTTGCACCACAGCGGCGGCACACCCCAGCGCCTGAAGGGAATGCATTTAAAGAGACCTCAGTCTCTTTAAATACCTTCTCTTACTGAGGTGTGCCACCACCATAACGAGACTCAGGGAGGGAAGGGAAGGTATTTAAACTTTAAATACCTTCCCTTGCCTCCTCGATTTGCGCTGAACCTGTTGATGATGCAGTGGCCACTGAACCTGGTGATGATGAAGTGTACTTTTTAATGCTGTCAGTGTTGTTTTTTGTTGCAGTCCATCCAGTGTTAATATTCCTAGGTTATATAGGGATTTAAAAATTTTCAATCACTGTTTTCCAAAAGGAAAAAAAAACTTTTAAAAAAGGAAATAATTAAGAGGCAGAAGGGAAAACTTTGGTAATTGAGGGGGAAATTAGGGTATAAATAATAAAAATTCCGATAATAGGAAAAATTATGGTAAATATTAATATTTGGGGGAAATTTGAGTATGTTTTCAGCAAAAAATTTTTTTAAAAAACCAACCTTTATAAAGAAAACATAACGCATTGTCTTTATTCAGAGTTGCAGTAATAAAATGAAAGAAAAAAGATAAAAGTATTAAAAGGAGGCACTACATTAAAACCAATGCTCCCTCTAAACTGTGGAATCTTGTGAGCAAAAATTCTATTTTGTGAGTGACTGGCATTAAAGTTGTGAGCGAGTGATTTGGCTGCATAAATTAGTTTGCTCTGGAGCCAGCCTTCCTGAGCTAAGACAAAAATGTGTGAGCCGGAGGCTAAAAAACTGTGAGCTAGCTCACACTAACTCAGCTTAGAGGGAACACTGATTAAAACCATCTTCTTTACTCCTTTAAGTTCCAGCCATTATTTTTCTTTATTTTTTTGGTCTTTCAGAACCTTTTTGAGGACCTTTCAGTCTTCCAGGACCTTTTATGTGTATCATTTACTTCTGTCAAACATTTCAATATATTATCCGATATCCGACAATAGTTTTTTGTACTTTCAGACATAGAAGCACACAAGGGGGGACCCGCGATACTCGTGGGGGGGGGGAGTATGCCCCATAGCCCCCAGCCTGCAAAGCAGGAGGAGGTCCTCACTGAGGAGAAGGAGGAGGCTGCAGGTGAGTCCAGCAGCAACGGCAGCAAGCCCTGCCCGGGTCCCAGCCGCTCACCTGCCCAGGCTCTCCCCCCCCCCCCCCCCACACCACACACACCGAAAAC